CTGTCTCAGCCTCTCAAGTAGCTGCAGTTACAGGTGGGCATCAAAGAACCGAGCTAAGATAGGCATCTTAATTTATTCAAGTAAAGACTAAGTTTTGTACCTAGGCAAATCCTTATAATCCTCCAAATTTTAGCTGCCACCTGTTTGATGAAGCCTTACTCTGATACCTTACTTCTCCCACTTACCTCTAGAAAGGAAAAATCACTCCATACTTCATGCTTCATGGTGGTTTTCTGCTATCCCAATTACAGCAGTCATCACTCTCTGGGGTTTTTACTGTGCATCTCTTCTTCCACCCCTAGTAGGAGGGGTCCTGAGTGACTGGTCCAGACAGGTATTGCATCAAAGCTCCTCGTGTGATGCTGAGCACAGGGCATATCTCCAGTATTCATTGATTGTACTCCTTTATTCATTCACCAAATGTTGTTCCAAACCCAACCACATCCCTTATAAATGAAGTGATTTAGGTTTGGTTATTTGTGGGGAATTTTGTTTGGCAAGGAAAAATCACTGGGGAGAGCGTCTAGAGCCTTGCACATCCTAAGCCTGCCCTCTACCACCGAGCTGCCTCCCCAGCTCACTCCCCAGCAGTGCATAGGCAAACTGCTGATATTGATTCTGGCCAAGGATTGTCTAAAATGGACAAAATAATTTTTTCCAGCTGGGCATGGTAGCACACACCGGTAATCCCAGCTGCTTGGGGGGCTGAGGCAGGAGGATCGCAAGTTCAAAGCCAGCCTCAGCAAGGTAGGCAAACTGCTGATATTGATTCTGGCCAAGGATGGTCTAAAACAGACAAAATAAATTTTTCCAGCTGGACTTGGGATTACAGGTGGCACACACCTGTAATCCCAGCTGCTTCGGGGGCTGAGGCAGGAGGATCTTGAGTTCAAAGCCAGCCTCAGCAACCGCAAGGTGCTAAGCAGCTCAGTGAGACCCTGTCTCTAAATAAAATACAAAATAGGGCTGGGGTGTGGCTCAGTGGCAGAGTGTCCCTGAGTTCAATCCTCAGTACCAAAACTTTGATTATCCATAAACAAACTTCATGATTTATATTTCATCTGAGTAATGGATATACATTTACCTAATATGTTTATTGACTTAAATTCAGCTCACTCACTTTATATGACATGGTAATGTGTATAATTCTTGTACTAGTCATATATCTTTATCAGTCACTTTTATATAACTACAAAAAAAATGTTGAAATGCTCATTCATCTATCACCTAAAACTCAATTTCAGTATATTTACTTACTGAAAACTCTGGAATCTTTGTTGAAGAGAAGGCCTTCAGGGTGTGTGTATATATGTGTGTGTGTGTGTGTGTGTGTGTGTGTGAGAACTTGGCAGTTTGTCAGAGTCATCTTGAAAGAAAAACACAGCCCTTTTACTGAAGAAATAGTTACCAGCCATATGAGTGTCTAATTATGTGTATCCTGATCTGGAACATACTTCAGGAAAATACAGGTAGTCAGGTGTCCATGTAGAAAGACCAGAAACAATGGTTGTATTGCCCTAGAGTAGTAGTTGCAAACTGCTGGTCCACACGTTCACACATTACAAAGAAACTGTGGATGGGTTTTCAGATGGTTTGTTAGCAGACTGATGGTCATTCCCAGAGCTGTAAGATGCTACGTATAGCAGCTGATGGGCTTGAGTTGGGACTCCATTTATATGGACTCTAGAACGTTTTCACTACAGCAAGACCAAGTCTCCTCTGAGTGACACCAGTTGCAGTAACATGCAGTATTTTACTGATTTCATCCAAACAAAATGTTTTTAACCTTTCTCTTTAAGGTCTTCAGTTTTCTCCTACCACTTCCATTTCCCCTCCCTCTTTCTATCCATTTCTTTCTCTCTTCTTTTTCCCACACCCCTGATTATGATTTTTCACTGAATTTCATATGCCTCATAAGTTATAGGTGCTAGGTAAATATCATTTTGTTAGAGTCTGTAAACAAGTCTGGATGGTGCCTGGCAAAATGCCAGAGGGAGTGGTTTGTGAAGTAACACCAGCGAGCCATTAAGTGTGGAGATTTCTTATTGGTTGACTGCTGTATCTAGTTTATGCTAATTAAGATAAGTTGTGTGGAATGGATAAATACCTCTGTTGTCCTACAATAAAAGGCTCCCACTCCTGCTGTATCAACGTACACAAGTTGTTCGTAACCCCCCCCCCCCCCCGGTTATTTTGCTGCAGCCGGACTGCGACATCATGTTTTATAGCTTCAGGAAGAAAAATCTACTGACTCTTTAGCAGGTGGCACCAACCTACAGTCATCTTCTGGTCCATCTTCTAGAACCAGGTTCTAATGAGTTTGCAAGAGAAAGTGATGGTGCCCAAGGAGAACGTGAGGATGTTTCTAGAACAATGCACCATTGTTCTCCCAGGATGCTATCTCCACATTGTCCACTGGCTCACTGTATGCTTCTGACTGACCCCAGCATTTCAACCTGGTTCTCCCAAGTTCGTCTGCAGACCACATTGTGCACAGTAGGCATGTATGTGCTGAGTCCCTGTGGCCTGGGCAGGATCAGCCTGTCTTGGTGTTGACAGATGAAGCCTTAACCAAAACCCACTTCTCTCTTCTCTAGGAACAGTAAACAGAGAGATGCTGCAGTAAATGTTGTGCATCCACAAAGATCCTTGTTTTCCTTGCTAAGAGGATAGATCAGAGTAGTGAGTGCAGAATTTCATTACAAAAAAAAAAAAAACAAAAACATGAGGGCTGGGAGAATCACTTAGTGGTAAAGTGTGTATTTAACATGTAGGACACTCTAGGTTCAATCCCTGCCATGAAAAAGAAAATCAGCAAATCATTACATTTTTACTATCTTTCTTTGAACCCTTAAATATATATGAAAGGATTTCTGTTCAGCAAGGGGAAGAAGACCAGAATCTAAAGGGCTGCATTTTCAAATGGCTTACATGTTGACTGTTACAGTCTGGTTTCTATAACAACAGACTCATTTCATTTGGAAACAAAAGTTTTATCCTATCTATAGATGATCCCCACTTAACCATGGCTCCACTTACAATTTTATGATTGCATGAGGAATGCTAGAGCTCCATGCATCTGGGAGACACCCTACTTCTAGTTTTGAATTTTGATCTTTTCTGGGGCCACTGATGTGCAATACAGCACTCTCTGAGAAAGATGGGCAGCAGCAGCAAGCCTCAGCTCTGAGCTAGCCACATGACCCAGAGGGTAACCCACCGCAGCTCTACAATGTACTGTTGCTAATAGATGCTGTTTTGTACGTTAGGTGTATTTCAGCATTTTCAACTGTGATATTTTCAACTTCAATGGGTTTATTGTGATGCAAACACGTTTTAAGTTGAGGAGCATCTATAGTACCATTTCTCTAAATCTTCTCTTTTAGTTCCTTTGCTCATAAATAAATAGGTTATTTTGGGGTTTGGGTGTTATGTTTTTTTGTTATATATATATATATATATCCTAGGTCATAATACTCTGTAAGAAGAGTAACTTGCAAGGATATTCCCCATTCTGTAGGTTTTCTTTTCAAATTCTTAATTGTTCCCTTCACTGGCACCATATTTTTTATACTTTAACAGATAAAGAATTAGAGACCCAGGGAGAGAATTTCCTATTTCTGTGTCCTTCCAGTTCCCTTCTGCAGAATGCCCTTCCCTCTCCTCTGTGCAAGTCCAGAGGCTTGGAGACCTGTGACGGCACTGATCAGATACAGCCTCCCACCATCAAAATCACCTCAATGCCCTGTCTCTCCTCTGTGGCATCACAAAATTTATTATTGGTAATTGAGCGCTGAGTCCACAAACTCCTCCAGACCTCTAATTCCTTTAAACAGGGTTGCTACTGGCTTATGTCCCCACTTCCTGCTCCACTCATCCCACCTGGGTACATGGTACATAATACAGAGTGGAGTCCAATAAATACATGATTGCTGCTTTGCCAAACCTTGCTGAAAGAATAGATCACTAAATACCAGTAGGTGGAAGAATGAATGATCTTGCCCCACCTTAGGAAATGTTGTTAAGCCGTCCATGTTGGGAGGCAAATAAGACTCAAACAACAAGCATCGTTCTATTCAGGCCACACAGAGCCATGGTAGGGACTCCTTTCCCTGCCTCGCACTTTAGTCAGTGTCATCCCAGAATTAACTCTGGCAGACCTGAATCCAGACCAAACCACACGCTCTTTCTGCTACCCACAGAGGCTCCATTACCAAAGCAACATTGCCATGTCAGGCACACTCATCAGGAGAAAGGATAGGCCCATGAGATGTATTATGAGACAGAGAAAGAAGAATGAGGAGAAGGAAAAAGGAAGGGGAAGGAGGAGGAGGAGGAGGAGAAGGAGGAGGAGGAGAAGGAGGAGGAGGAGGAGGAGGAGAAGCACACATGCAGAGAATTTGAGAAGCAGAGTGATAGTCAGAGATGAACATGGACACACATTATTTCCAGAGTAAAGATCAAAAATCAGAATCTATAAAACTGTTAAACTCTAGTGCGTCCCCTAGAACATCTTTGTGAAAGATAAATTAAGATTCAAGATTAATAATTGATGGGAGTTCATAACCCACTTGAATCAAAGTGTGAAATATGATATATCAAGAAATTTGTAATGTTTTGAACAACCAACAATAAAAAATTAAAAAAAAATAAATTAGGCACAGTAAGAGATTAATGGCAATACCTAATAATAAAATAGAATAATTATAACAACATGCTATAATAAAACTTATTTAAAATGTAAAAAAAAAAGATTAATAATTGAAAAACAAACTCAGTATTCATAAGAGGATTGTGGAAATGTTCCGAGATTGATTTATTGATTTACATATTATTCCTGGTTTTGCTCTGTTCAACAGTATGATGTTTCCACTGTCTTTCCTACCCCCATTCCCTCTCCCTTTATCTCCCACCCCTTAGCCCTATCTAGTGTTAATCTAAACCTCCAATACCCGCCCCCCAATCCCATCATGAATCACCATCCTTATATCAGAAAAAAACATTCAGCATTTGGTTTTTTGGGGATTGGCTAACTTTACTTAGCATTATATTCTCCAACTCCATCAATTTACCTGCAAATGCCATGATTTTATTCTCTTTTATTGCTGAGTAATATTCCATTGTGTATATGTAACACAGTTTCTTTATCCATTCATCTACTGAAGGGCATCTAGGTTGGTTCCACAGTTTAGCTATTGTGAATTGTGCTGCTATAAAATATTGATATAGCTGTGTCCCTGTAGTATGCTGTTTTAGAGTGAGGAGAGAGACAGCTGGGTCAAATGGTGGTTCCATTCCCAATTTTCCAAGAAACCTCCATATTGCTTTCCATATTGGCTGCACCAATTTGCAAGTACATGTATGAAGACACGAATAGTGTAACTCTACTTGGTATACAATCAGAGATATAAAAAAAAAAGTGCACTATATGTGTACTATGAATATTAATGCATTCTGTGGTCATATATAACAAATTAGAGTAAATAAAAATAAATAAATTTTCAAAAAGTGTGTGTTTGAGATTGCTGAGAACCTGAGTACCACAACAGGAGATAAGTCCAAAAAAGGACAAGATTTTATATGGGGTGGTAATAACCACATTCACTGCAATCTCTCCCTTTAAAAGTTATGAAGTATTTTCACTTAATGTATCTGGGGATTCTCCTAACATAGCTACATACCGGGAGGTTATTAGTCCTCATTCTGGAGATGAAGAAACTGAAGGCGACAAAAAAAAAAAATGATATTTCAAAGTACTGCAATCAGGAAGCCTAACAGTATGAAACCATTGCCCCGTCAGCCCCCATCTCCTCCTCTTGCAGTTGACTTGTGGTCTTCTGCGGGAAGCCATGGTGAACTGTGCATGAACTAAAGCTATGTTGAAGCCATTAGGCAGGAAAGCCTGGTATCAGGAACTCCCAGTAGGAATCCTGCTGGTTTGAGAATGCCTGGTTCATGTAGCATCCTGCCTAGCTCCAGCTCAAATTCTTGCATAGCCCAGGAGATGGGAGTGCCCCCATGGAGCCTCCCAGAGATGGGTGTGGCTTGCCAAATGCCAATCAACCTTTTTACAGCAAGACCCCTGCCAACGGGAAAGCAATCACCTAGCCAAGACTCCTCCCCCTGAAACCTTCTCCCTGCCTTTGATGTACTCCCCCTTAAGTAATCAGAACCTTTTTTTAGTTGTTCAGTTCCATCTCCCATCAGGACTGGAGGACCCATCAGGCACTCCTCTTTGAATCTAATTTCTGGCTCTGTCTTTATTTCTTACTAACTATTTCAGATTTTTTATTTCCCAGGCAGCTCCTGCCTCCTCAGCAGGAATCTTCCCTGCCGGGGTGCTGGTCACCTGTCAATCTTCCCTGGGAGGTTTTGGGGAAGAACAGTCAGAGTGCTCACTGTGCTAGAGCACAAGGAACCTCATCATTGCTCTCTTCAAAGCCTCCTTAAGCTCCCTGCTCCTCATGCTGTAGATCAAGGGGTTCAGCACAGGGGTGACAAATGTGTAAACCACAGACACCACCTGGCCCCTGTCTGGAGAGTACCTGGAGCTGGGGCACAGGTAGATGACACTTGTGCACCCATACTGCAGGAGGACCACAGTCAGGTGGGAGGAGCAGGTGGAGAAGGCCTTGTGCCTCCCCTCTGCACAGCGCATCTTCAGGATGGCAGCCACAATGAAGACATAGGACAGGGTGATGAGCAGGGAGGGGATGGTGAGCACAATGACACTGACCGCAAACAGGGTGACCTCGTGGACGTGGGTGTCGGCACAGGCCAGCCTCATGACAGGGAGGACGTCGCAGTAGAACAGGCTGATCTCCTTGCTGCTGCAGAAGGGCAGCCGGAAGATGAGCACAGTCAGCTGCAGGGCCAAGGCGAACCCCAGCACGAGGGACCCCACGGCCAGCTGCACACACACGCGCCAGCTCATGATGAGGGTGTAGCGCAGAGGGTGACAGATGGCCACAAACCGGTCATAGGCCATGACGGCCAGCAGAATGCAGTCCGCGCTGCCCAGGAAGATGAAGAAGAACATCTGGGTGCCGCAGCCTGGCAGGGAGATGAGGGTGCTCTCTGTGGACAGGACGCTGGCCAGGGTCAGAGGGGCGATGGTGGAGGAGTAGAAGACCTCCAGAGCTGCCAGGTTTGCCAGGAAGAAGTACATGGGGGTGTGGAGACAGCGGTTCATCCAGATGGTGAGGAAAATGGAGAGGTTGCCAGTGATGCTGACCAGGTACATCCCGAGAAAGGTCACGAAAATCAGCACCTGCACCTCGGGGAGTCGGGAGAAGGGGCGGAAGTGGAAGTGGATCATCCCAGTTTGGTTTGCTTCCTCCATGTGTCCTCTGCATTGGGCCTGCTGATAGCCCAGGCGCTGCCCCTGAGGACAGATCAATGTCAATCAGATGCTTCTTCATCTATAAAGACAGGACAGTATCATTCTCAAGAGCCTCAGGAGACTAAATGTGGCGGCTCCCTAGTAAGCTCTCATGAATGCTAGTAATCCTGAAAACCACTCTTCTTCCACCTCTTCCAGATCACCTTGATGCTTCCAGCTTCCCCAAAGAACTCTCCTTTGGGCTCTATTCTCTCTCATCTAACAAAGATGTCTGATGCTTCTTTTCCACTAGTCTTCCACCAATGCTCGCCATTTTCACGTCCTTCTGTGAGCCCTAACACCTGCTGTAATGTCCCCTGTCTCTAATCCTAACTGATCGTGACTGAAAAAGACCACGAAACTCTGTCCCCTGGTGCCACAGCAGAGATTGGCATTCTCAACCCCAGCACCCTCCCCAAGCCCCCGAGTCAGCCCCTCTTTCCAGTCCTCACCAAGGCTAGTCCCTCACCTCGTCACCCTTCTCTTCTACCCGCCCCCTTCCCTCATGCTCCGGCTCCAACTTCACACACACAAAGAAGGAACAGAAGCCCCCGAGGCAGCTCTCCTTCATGCTCACCAGCTCTGGGCCTGCAGCGGTGTCTGCCGACCCGGCTGCCCATCACACACTCCCACCTGCCTCAGTGGGAGTGTCCCTCCTCCTTGGCCTAAATACTGGCCTCCTGCTGGGCCCTCTGGGGTCTTGCTCCACAGATCCACTGCTCAAGCTCCAACACCTACCTCTGCCCCCCACTCTAGAGCACCCTCAGCTCCCCCAGTATAAAGAAACTGCCCTCAGGGTTATGTCACCCTCCTGGCTCCTCCCAGAATGGACATCTGCTGTCCTTCCTTCATCATGGGCCGTGAGCTTCCACCTCACCCCTCCAGCTCCCTAGACCACTTTAATGAAGACCACCAAGGACTTCCAAGTTCCTGAATCCAATAATCTGTTGCATATATACCTAGTGGCGCTCCCTTTTCCTGAAAATTCCTCAGTCCTTGGCTCTGAGATGCTATTCTACCCTCTGGACACTCTATTCCCCAAATTTGGAGAGGTTGCTGTTCCTGTTGGTGATGCACCAAAGGAAGGTTTTGCTGGTTATGTAGCACTCATCCCCGGATCCATTCTCTGCCCCGCTCTGCCCCTTGAAAGGCTGGTCCCCATGCATTACGTCATCAGGGCTCCTTCACTCTCTGGCTTCTGGTAGGACAGAAACAGGCAGAAGAATGAAGAACAGTATGAAGACAGGCAGGGTATTTATCCCATGCATTCCATGCCACCTCCTCCTCCCTCTTCCCTATTGGTTCTATGATAGCAGTTCTGGGTGGGTGGCCTGACCCCCATAGCACCAGGTACAGCTGGGCTCAGTTCCCTCACAGTGTCACTTCCACCACTGCTAGCCCTGAGTGCCTCATCACCCCTTGTATATTCCAGGAATTCTGCCCTTACCCCCGTAAATGGTCCCAAACTGATGCCTGTCCACAACTTGTTACATACAGTTGGTTTTAACAATAGTTATTTAATGCTTAAAGGGAAAAAAAATATTGTGTTTTAATTCATTCTAGAGTCTCTTGTGTATAGTGGTTTACACCTATATCCCAGAAGCTGAGGCCAGAGGATCACAAGTTCAAGACCAGCCTGGGCAACAAAGAGAGACTCTATCTCAAACTAAAAAATAAAAAGAGCACTAGGCAGGGTGGTGCATGCCTGTAATCCCAACACCCCAGGAGGCTGATGCAGGAGGATCAAAGCCAGCCTCAGCAAAAGCAAGGCTTTGCTAAGCAATTCAGTGAGACCTTTTCTCTAAATAAAATACAAAATAGGGGTGGGGATGTGGCTCAATGGCCAAGTGCCCCTGGGTTCAGTGCTGGTACCCCCAAAAATAAAATAAGATAAAACAAAAAGGGCTGTGCATGTAGCTCAGTGATAATATCCCTGTGTTCATTCCCCAATTCCAAAAAGATAAAATCTCTTCTTTTTTTTTTCTTTGCACCACTTATGATCAATAGAAATGCATTTCTAAGCAAGTTTTTATGGGATCTAAAACAATTAGACACACACACACACACACACACACACACTCACACACAAAAACAAACATACAGACAAGCACACACCATATCCCCTGGAGAAAACTAACCTGACACTTATCCTTGTTCTAAAGAGTAAACACTTGTTTTAAACAGTTCAGAGTGTTATTTTAAAATAGCATAGACTGAGTGGCTTAGACAAGACTTTCATTGCTCACAGTTCTGGAGGCTGGTAACTCCAAGTTCAGGGTGCTACAAAACTGGCTCTTAGTGAGGGCCCTCATCCTGGACAGCAGATGCTGCCTTCTCACTGTATGCTCTTATGGCAGTGAGAGGAAGCTGTAGTGTCTCTTCCCCTTCTATGAGGACACTAAACCCTTCAAGGGACATGCATGCTGAATCCCCTGAAACTGATTACTCCCCACATGCCCCACTTCCTAAGACCATCACAACGGGAGCTACAGTTTTAACATGAGTTTGAGCAGGAGAGACCGCAACATACCTCACATGACATGAAAGGTGGAAAAATGTTACTTGGCACTTAGCACCCTGCAGTGACCAGATCATCCCCAAAAGACTGAATTTTGCTCTACTCCTGTCTGAAGATACGCCGTGACCTTTGTACACATAATGATCCCTTAACCTCTTTGTTGCTTCTTCTCACACAGAATAAGTCATGCTTGGTATTCCTGCTGATGGCAGCTTTTCCTCTAAATACTAGCTCTCAATGCCCAGTTTGCAAGTAAAATGTTTATTTTTCTTTTTTTCCGAAGTGCTTCTAACTCTGTGCTCTCATCTGACGATGCAGTGTTTTGGCACAGCCTTACCTGGGCAAGTGGGATAGAATATCGGCTCCTTCATGGCTGGTCAATTTCCATATGGAAGTTTGTAAGAGTATGTTGTTCCTGAAGAGGTGAAATTGCATTCCTGCGAGCAATGGCAGGAGCACATTCCCCCTCCCCCTCCTCTCTCTCCCTCTCTATCTCTATCTCTATCTCTATCTCTATCTCTTACTGTCTCTGTCTCCAGGGTAAGTAAAAAAGCCCAGCAGACCCTTTACCCCAAACATTTGACTTCCATGAGTTCAACATGAAGGGAGAAGTCGGGGACTAGAAAGAGAATCGTTATCTCTAACACAGTGCTGCATTCACCTCTGGGCTCACTTCTTTGTAATTGTCCCCTCCATGGTCTCCAAGCTCCATGGGGTAGCCACCGACTCCACTTCACCCTCGCTAATACCCAGGACCCACATCAGTGCCCGGCACTTGATAATTATGCTCTGACGCAAACACTGAGGTTTTATTGAGATTAGTAGTACCGGTGACTCACATCAGTAAGTTCAAAATAGAAAAGGTCATCTTTATTTTCTACCTCTGAAACTATTAGAGCATACCCTTTCTGAGGAGAGAATTGGCAACTTTCAAGAAGAGTTTTTGAATGTTCCATGATTAAACCAACGCTCCACATTAAAAGTTGTCCCAACAAAACAGACCAGAACATGGACACAAATGCATTAAGATGCGTCCAAGATGGTTTAACAGTTTTTATGGTGAGTTAAAGTTCAAGGCAATGGTGGGGTATTCATATGATCAGCTCCTACCTTCCCATTAAAATTGTTCCACTTAAGAGGTTTAATGAAGTAAGTGCTGATAACGTAATGCTGAACGAGGAAACAAAGTGGCACATAGGGTGTCGGCAATGAGGTCATCCCTCCAAAAGGAAACCCACCCTCCACGCTTAGCATTTTAGAGAGAATTAGGAGATTGATATTTTCTTTATACTTTTCTCTATTGTTCAAATTTTCTGTAAAGAACATTTGTTTATTTTTTTAAGTCATAAAAATGTTATTGACATTTTAAACTCCCATTTGAGCAAGGGACACAAACGTCCCAGTAATTGCAGAACCATTAATTGTCAGAACCAGAATTAACATGGAGATATGGCCACACAACCTGGATGATGATGAGAAAATGATGCCATCCAAGCTGCTGCTTATAATGTCCCTCCCTCCTCCCTCCCTTCCTTCTTTCCCTCTCTCTTTTTTCTTTAGCCTTACCTCTTCTTTAAATGAACTTTTTTGAGGTTTGATTCACCACTCCAGCCTTTTGAGATCTTGCGAAGAATTCTAATTCATCACTCTAAAATACCAGTGTCTGTCCATGGTCATCTGTAAATACAATGAACCTGTGTCTCAAAGCTCACTGTGCATATTGGACTATTGCCCCAGGAAGCCACATTCCTTACACTTACTTCTCTAGAGAGTCAACCAGATTTTCTTTAGAACATCGACAAGTTTTCAAGTATGTTTCAAATTTTAAAAAAAAATTCTGTGTAGAATATGTCTGAAATGCTTGAAAACCTCAGTGAATTCCATTTGTTTAAACCAGTGCATTGTTTACAGAAGGGATGTGATCCTGAGTTCTTAACACACTGCCTCCAACTTCAGCCCCCACACATATATGTTCCTGTCTCTGAATGGAGACATGGATATCATCCTTCTTGACCATGAATGCTACATGTTTCCCTTTATGCCTTAGCTGCTAGGAAGCCCAACAGTAAGCTTGATACTTAATTAATGAATAATCCTCAGCCTCAATTTAAAAATTAAATAGATGTCACCATTTGTATTTAATTTGTCCATTTTATTCTATGCAGTTGATTTGGCTCTTAGGGCTTTATTATAAGATATTGTACTTCTTCTTGCCATTTTGGTCTTCATCCAAGGCATTGATGAGTGAGTGAGAACTCTCCCCACTGTCCACTCTCAAGCATGCTCCTCCTCTGAGTTCTTCTCAGTGGGATAAAGTGCCAATGCTGACAGCTTCTGATGCAGCCAGCGGTCCCTTCCCTGTGCACCTAGGCTGCCTCTGCTGCTGTGCAATTGCTTGCTACTTCAAGATTGGGTGGGTCAGCTCCAGGTCTCTTCTTACCCAGGAAATGGCAGG